CCATAGAAGTCTGCTTGGACACAAGTTTAAGCCCATAAAAATCTCTTTATTAGTTGGCCAGCTACTATATTGGGTGGGTGTGATCCCAGTGTAGCACTGAGCCTTTCTTAGGGCAAGTTTTTTAAGCACAAAACTATGTTCTGGGTTGACATACTTCAGTTAACAAGAACAATTAACCAGAAGCAGAACTATAGAAGTCAAAAAGCAAGGTTAGTACCTTTAGAGCCGTTCTAACAACTATGGATTGATGGATTAGGTCTTTGGTTTTGGCAGGTGGTGCTGTCTACATGCTGAGTTTTATAGCCCAAATGGCACTTCCATCATGGCATCCGTTGTGCTAAGCTCAAAGGGGCTACTAAGGTCTGGTGTCCTGTTACACCTTTTTTCCATTTATACAGTTCAGGGTGCTAGACAGGTAAAAGTACTGCCCACAACTGACAGAATTTCCTATCTCTATTAACATAATCAAGATAATCCCTCAAAGGCATGACCAGGGGCCATTTGTTAGATGATTCTAGATTCTGTCAAGTTGATAATACTGGCCATCACAGGTATGAATCATCATTATCACCATCATCATAAACACAATAGTAACAATAATAACCATAATAATAGTAAACATAATAACCCATTCATGGGGTCAGAGACCTCACAAGTCATTCACCTTTCAAAGGCTCTACCTCTGAACCAATTTGCCCCAAACACCAAGCCTTCATTCAATACACGAGATCTTGGCAGACATTTAAAAGGTCCAAACTATAACATTTCTCTATCACTCTTTTGAATTTCTATATTAAATTCAACATTATACATAAATTAAACTTTGGAAATCCTTAGACCAGTGGTTCTCAATCTTCCTAATGCTGCAACCCTTTAACACAGTTCCTCGCATCAGGGTGACCCCCAACTATACAATTATTTTCATTTCTACTTCATAACTGTTAGCGTCACTACTATTATGAGTCATAATGTAAATATCTGATATGCAGGATATCTGATATATACTCCCTGTGAAAGGGTCATTCAAATCCCCAGAAGGGTCACCACCCACAGGTTGAGAATTGCTGCCCTAGACCATCTTGTTATTGTCATAAAATTACTTCTTCATACTGCTAAAGCCCACCATGATTCATGACCATTGTCTTAGGCAGTACTTTTTCTTTAAACCAGATAATGAAAGAAAAGAATTACAAACCACTGGGTTGAGTATACAGCTCAATTGGCAAAGTGCATATCAGGCAAGAATGTAGACTTGAGTTCAGATCCCCAGAACAAATACACAAGCTAGGCTGGCATCTGTAACCTCAGTGCTGGTGATAGAAGAGATCAGAGATAGGCAGAGTACTAAAATTCATTGTTTAGGCAACCTAGCCAGATGGGTGATGTCCAGGTTCAGTGATAAACCTCTTAAAAATAAGGTATTGAATGAATAAGAAGGAAACCTGGGTACAACCTCTGGGATCTGGATGCACATGTACATGTACCCACATGAACTCTACATTATGTTACTCTAGAACAGTGTTCTCAACCTGCCTAATGTTTTGACACTTTAATAGCTCATGTTGGGGAGACCCAAAACCCATAAAATTATTTTATTGCTACTTTATAACTGTAATTGTGCTACTGTTATGAATCATAATATGAATATCTGATATGCGTGATATCTGATATGTGATCCCAAGGGGGGGTCAAGGCCTCTAGAGGAAAAAAGATAACAAAATAAGTATGTATTAAAAAGAGATTTATTGGATTGGTTTACACGATTCCATCTGTGGTAATCCAACAATGTCTGTCTTTACACTAGAGAGGATGAGAACTGCTATTTATTCAGTTCCTGAAGCTAGATAACTGTGATGGCTATTCTTGGTTGTTAAATGAATGAACTATAAGCCAGAAGTGGAGGGCACAACTGTCATTTAGATCGCAAGGATGGAGGACACATCTTTAATCCAGATCTTGAGGCAAGGAGGCACACCTTTAACCTGGCCCACACCTTCTGCTGGAAGCCTATATGGAAGGACAATGGAAGAAGGAAGGGTGTTCTTTGTCTGCTTGGCCTCAACTCTATCACCACAATAGGGTACAATTTTAAAAATGTAATGGGGAAAGTGGGAGAATTTAAATATGGACAGTCTAACAACCTGGTTAATTGTTGCATTTAGTAACTTGGTTTTGTGGAGATAATGTTATTGTGCTTGCCTGGGAAAACAACACAGTTCTTAGGAGATGCATGCCAAAGTAGTTTAGGGGAAGAGTTTGAAACACTTAAAAGGCAAGCTGAAGCTTCAATCCCTATAAGAACCTGGTAAAACAAGCAATGTGAGTATATGGCTTAGCTACAAGTGCGTTCACTGTATTTGTCTTAGCTGTGTCTTCTCAGGCTAAAAGAGGTGAGTGAAGTTACTCCAATTGTAGAGTTGCACATGAACATTCTTAATGAAATTTGCTTGAGAATCATCTGGGAAATAAGGAGAGCAGAGAGCAGAGGCTGTACATGAAAGGGGATTTGCACTGAATTATTGAGGGTGTCAGTGAAAGAAGGGTAATTGCTATCCTTCCTCCCTGCACTGGTTCTCAAAGGTTGTCCCCACCCCAAACACCACTACCATCAGCAAGCAGAACAGAAACGTTGTTCAAGATCAAACTCTGCTTCCCACACATGGTCCTCTAATCTGAGACTACAAACATGGCACTCAACACAGTGTGTTAAAGAGCTCGCCATGGGGCTCTTGCCTGTAGTCCCGGCACTCAGAAGGCTGAGGCCAGTTAGGGGAGAGCCTGGGCTACACAGCCAGTTGAAGACCATCCTGATCTACATAGTGAGACCATCTTCAAAAGATTGTTAGGGACTAGAGACATGGTTAGGTGGATAAGGGCACAGGCTGCTGTTCCCGAGGAACTGGGTTAGATTCCCAGCACCCACATGGAAGCTCACAACAGTCTACAACAAAATTGGGTCCCAGAGGGTCCAGTAATGTCTTGCAGCTTCTGAGAGCCCTGCACCCATGTGGCACAGAGACATGCATGCATGAAAGTCACATACATAGAATAAATCATTAAATCTTTAAATAAATTTAAAACAGGACAAAAGAGAAAGAAAAATTAGAAGCCCGAGAAGCTACAAACATCACGAAGTTAGCCGATATTCCAGGATCACTGCTCTAAAGCAACAAAGCATCAGGTTAAAGCATCAGTTTCTACATACGGCCTGTGGACAAATTATTCATATTTGCCTGAAATTGCCCCAAACACGGTGTGAATGTGGGGTTTGTGTGTGTGGCTGCACACTCCCCTGTGTATGTGTGCTTGTTTGGGCAGGAGGTAGACTTTGGGTGCCTTGCTCACTCAATCCCTCTTCCCCTTCTTTCTTGAGACATTGTAATTTAACTGAACCAGATCTCACAGATTTGCTTGAGCAGGCAAGCAAGCCCCAGGGTTCCTCTTGTCTCTGCCTCCCCAGTGTTGGGATTGCAAGACCCTCCCTCGACAATCAACATTTTTAGGGGGGAGGGGTTCGAGAAAGGGTTTCTCTGTGTAACTTTGTACACCAGGCTGGCTTCGAACTCACAGAGATCCACCTGCATCTGCCTCCAGAGTGCTGGGACTAAAGAATTGCACCACCACCAGCCGGCTCACAGTCAGCAGGTTTATATGTACTCTGGGGTTCAAACTCGGTTCCTCGTGGTTACTCTGTACAGATTGATCTATCACTCTACCCCTGTATGCTGACGTTTTTTTCTGTTGGATTTTTGAGACAGGGTTCTCTGAGCAGCCCTGGCGGTCCTGGAACTCTCTCTGTAGGGCTTGCCGGAGCAGAACTCACAGAGATCCGCCTACCTCTGCCTCTAGGGTGCTGGGATTAAACACGTGTGGTCGAGTACTGGGATTAAACACGTGTGGACACAAGGGACACCAGGCTTTTGCCCCAACGTGATGCAATTTGGAAAGGGGGAAAGCGCTGGCACCTCACGTTTCCCATTGAGACAACCCAGGTAAACACCACTAGAGAGCCCAAGGCTCATTTCTCTCCTCAGAGACACTGCATGGTCAACTGTGTGAACATCGGTCACATGGGTCAGTGTAGGTCACAGAGCATCCATAAGGGGGCGACAAACTCGGTGTGAGGGAGTAAATCTGAAAGCTCATTGGTCCAGAAACGACAGAAAAAGAAGCGCTCACAGCTCATTGGCAGGAAACCGAGTTGGCAGAGGAAGGACCTGCATCTTCCCTCAGAACTCAGCTCCTTGCTTCTGATCCGCGGGACACTGAGGTAAACACCGGCTGGTATCAAAAATGAGATCTGTACATTCCATGTCCTCTTCTGCCCACCTCCGTTGTTTCTGGGCAACCCAGTTCCTTCGACTTTTTGCCTCTTCAAGCCAGTCTACAGGGGCGAGGCCTGAGAGGCGAAGCCTGTGGCCACCTAACCCCGCCCCCTCATGGGGCAAAGGCAGCAAGTGTTTGTTCCCAGGTTCAGGACCTTGCAGGAGGCTCCTGCTACTTTTGACTCAGGTGGGGCAGAAAAGGATGGCTGGGTTTCGTGAGGAGAGCCTGTGCTCTTTGAACTGCAGGAGGGAGGGACACGGGGAAGGACTGTCAAGGAAGAGAAGATGCTGCGCTCAGGCGCCATTGGTGAAATGCGGAGAAGCATCTAGAAGGTAGGCCAGAGGACTATAGCAGAAGGCATGGGTTTTCACGACAGCAGAGAGAGTATGTTGTCCCGAGAAAAACAGCCTGCTGAGGAACTATCTCTTGACGTGAGTGGGGAATAGCATTTCACACGGGACCAAAAGTATAAAGTTTTTGTTGGTTTTGGTTTTGTTGGTTACAGGAGAATGCTGGGGGAAAAGAAGGATGCAGGAAGATAGATGTAAGAGGTGCAAGATCCTAGAGGATAACAATATTTATTTGTTTAGTTATTTATATATTATTACATCGTCTTTACTGTGGTGGCTATCAGTGGAAACAAGATGGCCCAGTGTTATGAGTTGACATCAACTCCTCCTGCCTGAGCATCCCGTGCAGTGGGATTTCAGGCAGGAGTCAGCCAAGTTGGCTTGCGAAGAAGATGATTTCATGAGGAGCATGTGTGCAATGATTTCCAAGGGGATCAAAAGAATTATTAAGATTAAATTGGGGCTTGATGATAAACCATAACCAGGGAGGAGGGAAACATATGGTGTCCCTTGAGCTAATGATCAAGTTCGTCACTTCCATGTGGACAGTCAGAAGTCAAGTTCAACTTAGGACTTTAGGGAAACAATTGTTGACCCATAAGTCAGGAAGCAGTTGGATTTGGCAGGGCAAAGATAAAGCAGCAGAACAGAGAGTGGTGATTGCTGAAGAAGATACAAGGGCACCTGTCTCTGCCTCAAACACTGTGTGTGTGTGTGTGTGTACAAATGTGGGTGTGAATGTGAATGGGTGTGTGCAAATTTGAGGAATGGGTGTGTGCAGGTGTGTGTGAATGTGAATGAGTGTGTGTGAATGGGTGTGTGCAAAGATATGTGTGTGTGTGTGTGAATGAGAATGAGCGTGGGCAGGCATCAGTGATGGTGATCAGCAAAGTCATGATCAGTCTTCTGTGTGGCTTAGGAGAGCAGGATGTCAAGGGAAGTCAATGTGGGAGAGGGACTTGTGTGGTGGAGATTCAGAGTGACCAAGTGAGACCAAGGTTAAAACAAAAACCATGGTGAAAAGAAGGGAGGGAAAGTTGGTCCCAGCAATGAACAGAGTGGAGGACAGGAAGATTCTAGGCACCAGACATAGAATTATGTGGGGGTAGGAATTCTGGTGGCCTCCCCTAACCCCAGAGCCATGGAACACAGAACGTGAAGGCCATTCCGTTTTCTGCTGGACTTGTGACTTCAACTTAACGCTGGTTACGGGAGAAGATCACCAAAGAGGGCAGTCAAACTTGGTCCCAGAGAACCTGTAGTTTGCTCTGATCGTGCCACACCCATACCACCAGAACAAATCGGGGTTGAAACACATTTCTGCCTCTTCCAGACCAGCAAGTACACCTTCTCAGAAGTGTACTATCTCTAGGGTTGAGGTCAGGCCGCCTGTATGTGTGACTAACATGACTCTTTCCATCTCCCTACTTCAGGCAGTCTGGTGGAGCCTTGCCTGCCGTGAATTCTGTGGTGAAGGTCAGTGAACACAAAGAAAGAGGCATCTCACTTGACACCTGAACAGGACAATGGCTGCAGACCCCAACTCTCAGATGAAGGCTGATCAGCGTGCCACCACATCAGGAGGCACGGGTGAGTGTCTCTGGCCAGGGAGGGGCGGTCTCAGTTTGGCAGCAGTAATCCTATATGATACTGTCACCAGTCATGCCACAGAATTGTCACTTGACCTTGGGCAAACACTCCCCAGACCTTAACCTGGGTGTATAAAAGGGGTCCTATCTGTGCCAAGTACCAGGCATCTACAGAAAGGAGAGACATTGTGGGTGGGGCATTGAAAAGACTGATGGTGACATGAGTCCTCATATGTGAGGGAGGTGCTTTCAGAAGAATATGGAGGGAAGGGAGGCTTGGCCAATCTCTGCGTGGTCTTTTCCAGATGAGCAACAGAGTGTCATTTACCAGCCTGAAGTGCGGCCTAACACCGTGCCTCTACAGGTAAGGACATAAGTTGCTACAGGGGAGGCTACACCCCACAGTCATTGTCCAGACAACTTCAACTGTGCCCTAAACTGTAAGGTTCTAGCACCAATCCTGTCCTGCGCATGCATTGTGAACTTGGGAAAATAACTTCTCTTTGGGCCTCAGTATCCTCAATTATAGGAAAGACCAAAAAGGTGAGACTGTGTGGTTGGTCACCAAGGTCTTGAGAGCTCTGCCATTCTCTGTAACTGTCACCAAGGTCTTGAGAGCTCTGCCATTCCCCCATGGCTGTCACCATTTTAAAACATCCCCATCGCTTCTATCTTGGTGGTCAGACCTGATCTTGTGCATGGATATCTGTCCTTGCAGGAAATCTCCCAGGTGCCTGTGGTGCTACAGTGGCCCACAGCATTTATACCTATCAACTGTACTCCGGTGATTTTGACTCCTCAAATGATGATTGCTTTGTCATGGGATCCTTTCCGTCCCGTGACTATACCCTGCTTGTGAGTACAACAAAGACCATGGAGCCAGCAGTGGCTTATGGTTCTCTGTCAAACACGTGCTTGGTGCTATAGGGTAGGAGCAGAGAGAAGAAGGAGAAGTAACAGGAGGGGGAGGAAGACATGGAGCAAGAGGAGAGGGAGGGAAGAATGGAGAAAGGGATGGATTGATGGATGTAAGGATGGAGGGATGAAGGGATGGAAGGAGGGATGGAGGGAGGGACCAAAAACTATAGCAGAATGACAGAGCTACATTTCAGGCTAACTTTCAAGACAGGGTCCTCCCAGAATTAGAATTTCCTCTATGACATGCTTGGGAAAGTATCTTTCTGAGCCGCTCACTCCCTGTAGACATGCTTGGAAAAGTATTCTACACGGTAGCATTGAAGGGGACAACCTCGATACATACAGCCAGCAGGGCCTTCAATGTGTTGAGATTGCTCATCCACACTGAAGTGAACAGACATGAGAGAAGGTTCTGCTGAAATCTGAAGGCATAATTGGAAGGGCCAGAGAGGCCCAGGAATATGTTCCAGGCCAGCAGAGGATGCGTCTGCTAGACGAGCTTGGCGTATCCTTCTTGACGGGTGGGGAGTGGGCAAAATGGAGGCAAAAGCCAGTCTCTGAAGAGGACCATACTCCAATCTTTCCTGGTACTGTGCAGATCAGAACAGGTCTTGGTCATCTTCAGTGTACCTGGGAAGGAAAGCGTTCACACAAAAAAGTCGTGTCTTGGGGATGATCATGGAAAGAGGTTGGAGTGAAAACAGGCCAAGCAGGGAGAGGAAGGATCAATCCCAGGCCCAGTGGACTAGTGTCATTTGTCCTAATGTCCACAGCCATTCACATTCCCCCAGCCTGAACTTGCAGAGTCCCTGGCTTTCCATGTGTACTCATGGTAGCTGTCATCCATAGAGTTTAACCTCCTGGCTTCTCTGCTTGCTCTCAGGCTCTCTAATGTGGTCCTGCAGCCCTGCATCAACACTGCCCCTACTGTGCTGCCTGCACAGGTCCTGGTAAATGAGTGGAGTGGGGTCGAAGTCCTTGGAAGGGATGGGCTTTGTACATGGATGGAGGAGAAGCTCATAGAGACGAATGTCTGGTGGAAAAGAATGGAGGCTGAAGGGTCCATTGTGGTCAGGGAGGTGCCTTGCCCGAATTCACTCTCTCATATCTCCTCCTTTGCAGGTCCCCAGAAGCATCTGTTTCCAGGGCCCTGACAATGCCAACCAGCCTCTTGTCACCTCCACCCAGATCAACGATACTCCCAACCAGGGCCCTGAAATCTGCACCCAGCTCCCTGATGCCTCCAACCAGGGCCACGAAGTCTGCATCCAGCTCCCTGATGCCTCCAGCCAGGGCCCTGAAGTCTACACAGAGCGCCCTGACACCTCCAACCTGGTCTCTGAAGTCTACACCCAGCTCCCAGATGGCTCCAACCAGGGAGCCCTCTCTGCTGAGGTGGATAGGCAGAAGGTACTGGATGCTGCTGAGGCTCTCCTGATTCTGCAAAACTCCCCTCAGGCCTGGGAGAAGAAGTTCAGCACACCAGGTAGCTGGCCCCTTGAATGAGGAACGTAGGGGTGGATAGGGTGTGGACACTGGAGGGCTAGCGCCCAGATGCTGGTAGCTAGAATCGGTGGTTTCATGGACTTGAAGGGCTGAGCCTCAAGCTCTTCAGTCTGATTGAGAAGTGGTACCCAGAGTCTACTCAGCAGATCTTTGCTTATCAAGTTTTTGGCTCAACAGCACAGGGCCAGCACCCTGAAGTCAAGAAAACTGGGAGGCCTTCATGGTGCCAGGTTCTTTCTGGAGTGCAGGCAGCATATGAAGTGGAAGGAACAGGACAGGGAAGAATGACTCCCAGCCCACAGTTGTGTCCCACTTTTCTGCAGCCTGAGGAGGCTTAGGAGGATATGCACAGGGAATGAGGGTCTGGAATGGAGGGGATTGTCATGAGACAGTTTCCATGTAGACATGGAACATGGATGCCTTCCCGTGTTGACTTTTGCCAGAAAACACATTTCCATTGAGGAAGGCATATGTGACTGCAGAGGAGAATTTCATAGCCAGGGAGGCTGGAAGGGAAGGCCTCTGAGGAAAAAATGGCCAGTGCATAGCACTGTGTGAGTGGATGGGAAGCCTCTTGGTAGATATCCTGGAACAGATGATGCCACATGAGGCCAGAGAGCTTGCTTCTCACAGAGTCTATCTTGCTGGGCGATGTAAGCCATGCCGTGAACTCTGGGGCCAGGGGTGAAATGCAGGATCTTTGCCAAAGCAAGGATCTCATTCAGAGATCTTGGTCTTGACCAAAAGGGACCTGTGGCAGGGAGTGATGGTGGCACCACTACTGAGTGAGGGAATTCAGGTAGGAACAGACCTGTTCATTGGTCCCAGTGGAAATCTTAGACCGTTTGGTCCACAGCGTTATGACCAGAGAACCAGGCAGCGATATATTTGTGATCTGACTTTGCCTTTTGTTTCTTTCTGCAGGACCTGATGGGGAGTGAAGACTGCAGCTGTCCTGCCTCTGGATGTCACCCCAGCCTACATACTCTGCCTCACCAAATGACAACTGGACATCTTGACGGTGCCCCACTCTAGCCCTAAGAGAGCTGTGAAGTTGGCCTGTCAAGGACTGCCTGTTTCTGAATTAGCAAGTAGCTCCTGTCCGAACTGCTTATTTGATTTTCTTAAGACTGGAGGCACGTTGTGGGATCTCAAAATCTTATCTTGAGGTAGGGAATGACTTAACTGTGGTGGTGTATTCTGGACCTTGCATTGTTTCCCGTTGTTTGTTGATTGTTTTCCTTCGTAAGATGTGGATCTTTCTTTGTGTCATCAAAGCTGAACTGTGCAACATGATATGAAGTGTCTGTTCACAATGTTCTGAGTCCATAACGATGGCAGCAATTTTTGTCTCTTTATTGTCTGCATAGTTGAAGGATCCTATATGAGCCATATATTTAGATACGTCAGGATGCATCACCTGCATCTAGTGTCTGTGTGTGGGCACAAATAAAGTTTCATTGTTGTAAAGCATTGAGAAGTACAGGCTGACTCTTTTTTATGTTAAGGATAGTTCTATTTTTTCTCAATACATGTTTTTATTTAAATTACCAACGTGAATGTTTCACATGTCAGATCCAGCTCCCCCTCCCACCCCTCCTCCCTTGTCCCTCCGTCAGCGCCGCAGCCCCCCCACACAATCCCCACATCATTCCCCAGGGAGGGTGAAGCCCTCCTTGGGGAGCATCTCTAAAGTCTGTCATTTCATCCTGGGCAGGAACTAGGCCCTTCCCCATGTGCCCAGGCTGAGAGAGCATCCCTCTATTTGGAATGGGCTCCCAAAGCTCACTCATAAACCATGGTGAACACTGATTTACTACCCAAGGCCCCAGTGATTTCTGTGGCCTCCTCCCTTTCACTACATTCATGGAGTCTGGATCAGTCTCATGTTGGCCTCTCAGCCATCAGTCTGGGATTCAAGAGCTCCCCCTTATCCGGTCAGCTGTCTTTGTGGCTTTCACCATCATGGTCTTGACCCCTTTGCTCATCACTCCTCCATCTCGGTCATTAGGTTCCAGGAGTTCAGTTCAGTGTTTAGCTGTGGGTATCTGTCTCTGCTTCCACTAGTCCCTGGATGGAGGTTCTAGGATGGCATATATGGTAGTCATCAACGTGTAGTCTCTCCACTATTGTTTAGTTTGCCAGTCGGTGTTATCCTTGTAGATCTCTGGAGATCTCACTAGTGTCAGCTCTCTCCTTAAGCCTATAATGAGTTGATCTATTACGGTATCTCTCATCCTGCTCTCCTCTATTCTTACCTCGACTCAAACTTACTGCTCCCCCATGCCTTCTTCTCTCCTCCTCTTTTCCCCCTCTCTTTTTCTTGGTTCCCTCTCCTCTCCCCCGATCTGCTCATGAGATCTTGCCTCATTCCACCTTCTCTGGGGTGTCATGCATCTCTCTTGTGAACCTCCTTGTTTCCCAGACTCACTGGCACTGGGATTGTAGGCTGACACTCCCCTAATCCATATGTAAAATCCATATATGAGTGAGTACATACCATGTTTGTCTTTTTGTGTCTAGGTTACCTCACTCAGGATGGTTTCGTCTAGTGCCATCCATTTGCCTGCAAGTTTCAAGATTCCATTGTTTCTCTCCTCTGAGTAGTACTCCATTGTGTAAATGTACCACATTTTCTCTATCCACTCTTCAGTTGTGGGGCATCTAGGTTGCTCCCAGGATCTACCTATTACATATAATGCTGCTATGAACATAGAGGAACAGACATCCTTGTTGTGTGAATGAGCAGCTTTTGGGTATATGCCTAAGAGTGGAATTGCTGGGTCTTGTGGTAGACTCAGATGCATTTTCCCAAGGAATCTCCCTACTGATTTCCATAGTGGCTCTACTAGTTGGCACTCCCACCAGCAGTGGAGGAGTGTTCCTCTTTCTCCCGCACAAGCTGTCACTGGTGTTTTTGATTTTCGCCATTCTGACTGGAGTAAGATGATATCTCAGAGTTGTTTTGACTTGCATTTCCCTAATGGCTAGTGATGTTGAGCACTTTCTCAAGTGTCTCTCAGCCATTTTAGACTCCTCAACTGAGAGTTCTCTATTTAGTTCAGTCCCCCACTTTTTAATTGGATCCTTTGGTGTTTTGGAGACTTGCTTCTGGAGTTATTTGTAAATTTTGGAGATCAGTCCTCTATCAGATGTGGGGTTAGTGAATATCTTTTCCCAATCTGTGGGTGCCTTTTTGTCTTGCTGACTGTGTCCTTTGTCTTACAAAAGCTTTTCAGTTTCAGGAGGTCCCATCTATTAATTGTCGATCCCAGTGTGTGTGCTACTGATGTTATGTTCAGGAAAGAGTCTCCAGTACCAACTCATTCAAGGGTACCGCACACTTTCTCTTCTAAGAGGTTCAGTGTCACTGGATTTATGTTGAGGTCTTTGATCCATTTGGACTCAAGTTTTGTGCATGGCGATAGACATGGATCTATCCGCATTCTTCTACATACCAGCATCCAGCTATTCCAGCACCATTTGTTGAAGATGCTATCTTTTTTCCATTGTATAATTTTAGATTCTTTGTAGAAAATCAGCTGTTCATAGGTTTGTGGATTAATCTCGGGGTTTTCAATTCGATTCCATTAGTCTACCTGTCTATTTTTGTGCCAACACCAAGCTGTTTTCAGGACTGTAGCTCTATAATAGAGCTTGAAGTCAGGGATGGTGATGCTTCCAGACATTGCTTTGTTGAGCAGTGTTGTCTTGGTTATCCTGGGTTTTTTGTTTTTCCATATAAAGTTGAGGATTGTCCTTTCGAGGTCAGTGAAAAATTATGCTGGTGTTTTGATAGGGATTGCATTGAATCTGTAGATTTCTTTTGGCAGGATTGCCATTTTTACTACGTTGAATCTACCTATCGAAGATCATGGGAGATCTTTTCATTTCCTGTTGTCTTCTTTAATTTCTTTCTTTAAAGACTCAAAGTTCTTGCGATACAGGTCTTTCACTTGTTTCGTTAGCGTTACCCCCAGGTATTTTATGTTGTTTGTGGCAATTGTAAAGTGTGATGTTTCTGATTTCTTTCTCAGCCCTTTTATTGTCTGTATATAGTAGGGCTACTGATTTTCTTGAGTTGATCTTGTAGCCTGCCACTTTGCTGAAGGTGTTTATCAGCTGCAAGAATTCCCTGGTAGAGTTTCAGGCTGACTCTTTAAACAATGTAAGCCCGACGTTTGGGAACAGTGCTTTCTTTTCTCGAGCACTAAGCTAGCTAACAATTTTATTGCCTGTTTTTAAGGCACCTTTGTCAAAGATGCAACCCGTTCACTGGCTTACCAACTTGAGCTTGTGTAGTACAACCTCCAAAGAGGACTTTTCCCTGTCCCATGGCATGTCACTTCAGTCTTTACCATGCAAGGAGAGTGATTTGGGATTTGGGCAGAAAGCATAGCATTCCATCTTATAACACATAGAGTACTAGTAACACATTGTCAACGCTGTTAGTGCCCTATGGCAGGGTTGTCACAGAGGCTCCAACCGCATCCTCCCTTTGCTCCCAGGATCTAGTCCTGTGAAACTCTAATCATGTGGTGTCAGGAATCACATTTCAGTTGTGCTTTCAACTTACATGCTGATTATGGTTTTAGAAGTCCCTCTTCTACACCACCAAACTCGAAAGTATTTTAAATTTGGAATGTAAATAATATACCTTTTGACCACGATTTTGAAGCAATTTGGCACTATAGTTTTGCATTCATATCTTTACACTCAATATCAATGAGCAGTATATTTCCTCATTGATTATTAATGGGAACCATGCATTTTCTGCATACGTGCAGTCATGACAAAAACTGTGACTCTCAATGAAACCCCTGTAAAATAATTAGCCTTTACACATATCATACACTAAAATAGTTACGCTTAAATTTATTTGGGGGGATAGGTAAATCAAGATTGATTCCTACTGACACCCTGAACCTGTTTGTTGATCCTTGAAATGACTGCCAAAAAAGAAAACATAAGAAAGAAAAGGAAACAATATTTAAGGCATCATATGATGATGTAGTGCAGACTTGGCTGCAAGAAGCTTTTTTATTTTTTTTAAATCATGACCAGATGATTTCCATTAACCAGGAAAACTGTCAGTGCATGCATAGAGAAATGATCTCTGGCAACAGCATTTTAGCATTTTAAGAAGGTGACTATTCCCCGGAGCTGCATCTTGAAACCCTTTCTGCACATGTTCCCTGGCTTCTTGAGAGGAATTCAGTAACACAGGAAGGTCTTTTGCTGGAAATATCGTGAATAAAGCAAGGCAACTCTCATCCTGGTGATCTGAGCATGCTTCTTGCCTCCTCTGAACTTTTGTATTTATATATTTGTTTGAGTGTTCATTTATTTATTTAGTCTTGGTGGTGATATTTTGTTTGTGATCCAACAAAATGTTTGCCCGAAGATCAGTGTGAGGCACTAGCCACACTAGTCAGCCATCAACACCGGGCAGTGGTGGCACACACCTTTAATCCCAGCATTGGGGAGGCAGAGGCAGATGGATCTCTGTGAGTTCAAGGTCAGCCTGGACCACACAAGACTGATCCAGTCTCAAAGAGAAACAGAGCCCAGCAACAGTGGCTTCTGCCTTTAATCCCAGCACTTGGGGTCATATGCCTTTAATCCCAGCACTATGGAGGTGGAGGCAGGGGTGATATGTCTGGGCCTCGAGAGGAATATAAGGCGGGAGGAGACAGGAGCTCATTGCCTTCAGTCTGAGGATTCAAAGGGACAGGATTGCAGCTTTGGTCTGAGGATTCAGTAGAGGTGAGAGAGATCTCTCTTGTGGCTGTCTCCTTTACTTCTCTGACCTTTCAGCATTTACTGTGATATCTGACTCTGGGTTTTTATTAATAACATTTATTAGAACTCTTGCTACAAGTCTTCTCTCATACATGATCCCAAATGCCCTATCCTCTTCCGTCTCTCCTCCAAGTCCACCCCACAATCTCCCCTTCTCCTCCAGGTCCACTCCTCCTGGGTTCTCCTTCAGAAACAAGCAGGCCTCCCAGGGTTCTCAACCAAAGATGGTGTATCAAGTTAGTGCACGACTATGCACATACCCCCATATCAAGGCTGGATGGGGCGCCCCAATAAGAGGAAAGGGGTCTTAAAAGCAGGCAAATGAGTCAGACACCCGACCCCCAACCTTCAGAGTCCCTTCCACAAGGCCACGCACACAACCATAGTGTGTATGCAGAGGATGTAGATCAGGCCTACACAGCTCCAGGATGGTCTCTTCAGTCTCTGTGAGCACATCTTTCAGGTGGGACAAATGGTTTGTTGGTTGAAGGCTTCTTTACTAGCTTGGTGCCCCTGCCCCTAGACTGGAAGCCTTGCCTGGTTATAGAGGATGGCATTCTCTTCATACCTCCAAAGAACAGCTCTTTACTTCATATGGAAAAACAAAACAACCAGGTTGGCAAAAACAATCCTGTGCAGTAAAGGAACTTATGGAGGTAGGAGGCATGGTG